GGAGCAAATGACCATGGAAAATACCAAAAGAGTTAGCTAGCACCAAAAAATCAAATCTATTCTTGCCAGCATCCGTTCCATCGAAAAAGAAATAACTTACTTGGCTATTCTCTGTGTGGCCATTACGGAGATCAGTGCAGAAAACGAGAGATACTTCGAGTAACGATCGCCTTTCGTGTACTGAGCCCAGATGAGTTCAGCCGTCGAAAAAGTGCTTTCTATAAATGGGTAAAATAGATTTCAAATTCCTACATTATAAGTTCGAATCGCATTTTCTACTTTACTCAGGATCTTTTTTCTTTGAAAATGGAGAAAAGAGAGAAATTTCAGATTACTGGTATTTAAGACTTTTTTTAGATTTTTAAAGTATTTTTTGATATTCAGTATGATATTTATAATAACAAAAAAAAGATGGCAGTTGCGGGTGGCACTCACCTGACGTAACCCTTTGAAGTTGCTTTTCAGTTTGATTGAAAAGCTTCTCGATTTCTTCTTTTGCCTTTCTGGCTTCCGAAATCAGCTGATTGTGACTCATTACTTTTGAAATCTAAACGTGTGTGAATAGTAACTGGGGAAGACGAAAAAAAATCCTCAATTCACCTCAAGCTGCGCTGCAAATCTCTTTTCGTCATCCCCGAGCAGTGTTTTACTTCCTTCGAGAGCGCTTTCTGGAAAAGTAATTCGTGGTGTGGAACAGAATTGACCTTAGTTTGGTTTAGCATAAACCTGAACTTTGAGATTTGCTCATAAACAAAATGATGACGTACATCAACCTGCTTGAAATGAGCCGTGAACTTGACACACATTAAAAAAATTTCAGCAACTTAGTCACTTTCAATAGACGTTCACTTAGTGTGCCTATGATGGCCACAAAGTGGATTTCTGANNNACAAAAAGGTTTTCTACGAGGTGTGGCCTATCCAATCAAGCACCCAAACTCACTGGGACATTTGCACCGCTTCTCTACAAGTATTCAGCTACTCTCTAACTAAAAAATCCATCTTTTACGTGCAGAAGACTTTTAAAAATTCGGGTACAAATAAAATTCTCACCTCTTAAATTTCTGAGACCGAACGCTTTCGTTTCACATGGAGTGAAACTGGGACCGCATGGGAATTTTATGCCTGTGGCTGAGGTGGCCGTCATCAAAAGAAGAACCAACAGACGCATTCTAAAGTAAAAATTCGAAGTTCTAAGCACATCTGCTCAGGATATTCATGCATTCCTCCTGAGCGGAGACAAAAGCAATTGTTGATGGGGCTGATACGATATAGTTGACAAATCGCCTCCAGAACCGATAAGCTATCCGTTCTCGGCTGTCAGTGTCAATGATCCTATAATCTCCTAAAGGGATACATAATGGAATCATGAGGATGTATGGTAAGCCACATGCTTGGAATGATCTAATGTAAGCAAGGCTCAACATTATACCCGCTCCCTAACACAAATGCAAAATAAGTATATAATGTGATGGTGAGGGAATTGTTCCTATACTCTAGCCTACCCCAAAAGGAAATGGTCCCTAAGCAAAGACAACTCAAAGGCTATGAACTGACCAGAGGTATATTAAGATTAGGG